AAAGAAAGAAGGAGAGTGGGGTGAAGTAGATGAGAAGTGTGGTTGGAGTAGGTGTATTAAATAGGCCAGTCAGGGTCAGCACTATAAGAAGGTGAGATTTGTCGGATCCCCACGCTGGCCAGCCGCCAAAAACAAGAACAAACTCCCACTCCCCACCACACACATGCAAAGGTGACATTTGAGCAAAAGCTTGAAAAAGGAAGTGAAGGATTTAGCTGAGCAGGCTGTAGGAAGAAGGCTATTTTAGGTAGAGAGAACAGCTAGAGCTAAGGCCTGATAAGGTAAGGGACAGCAAGGCCTGTGTGGTTGGAGCAGAGTAAGGGGGAGAGCTGTTGGGGCCAGGGGCCTCATTTCCCCATTTCTGCTTCTCGTCTGACAGATTCCGGGACTCCAAATCCCAGCGGACGCACCAGGCTCAGGTGGCATTCCAGGTGTGCGTGCGCCCTGGCTCCTACACTCCGGGCCCCCCTTCCACTGCCCTCAGAGAACCTCCTGACCCTCATTTCAGCCCAGCTGAACTTGAGTGGGTCACTAAGGAGAAGGGGGCCACACTCCTCTATGCCCTGCTGGTACGGGTGGAATGAGGAGTGAGACGCCACCAGTACAAGCACAGTTGGGCCGTGGGCCCGTGGACTCTGAGTGACGACTGCCTCCACGTCATTCCAGTGACTCATGGCATGCACAGGTGCTCAGTCTTGGCAGATGCGTAGGAGCACGTAGGCAGGCTCTCAGATTCAGATGGAAGTGGCATCTCCATGTCCAGGGCCCCAGAACACTCCCTCTGGTAGGAGGGAGCTGTGGGGAGCCCAGCTCCAACCCTGGGTGCCCCGCTCCATGCACTGATTTGGGGAACACGACTCCCTATTACTCCCCTCCCTCATATCACTTAATTTATTTCCGTTTTTCTTTCTGGTTACTGTGAATCCCAGAGGAGTCTCTCCCCGTGCCCACGTGAAGCTGCTTTTCCGGGGCCGTGGGGTGGGAGCGGGGACGGGCGGGCGGGCGCGTGGACGCCAGGGGTTTCTGTACAGTTGTTACTGACTCTGGTTTCTAAGGAGCCAATAAACAGCGTCTCAGAGCACCCGCCTCGGCCTCTCTCTCGCGCGCTTCTTTCTTTCTGGTTACTGTGAATCCCAGAGGAGTCTCTCCCCGTGCCCACGTGAAGCTGCTTTTCCGGGGCCGTGGGGTGGGAGCGGGGACGGGCGGGCGGGCGCGTGGACGCCAGGGGTTTCTGTACAGTTGTTACTGACTCTGGTTTCTAAGGAGCCAATAAACAGCGTCTCAGAGCACCCGCCTCGGCCTCTCTCTCGCGCGCTTCTCCGGAGCCCGTGGCTCCGCCAGCCGAAGAGTGCCGCGGGCGCCCGGGGAGCCGACACCCGCGACTAGGCGGCCTCCCGGCCGGGCCACGACATTTGGGCGCCGCGGGCTCCCGTCGCCGCGTCTCGTCCAACCCACGAGGCCGGCCTCGCCGCGACTCCGGAAGAACTCGGTGCGCTCGCCGGATGTGACGCAAGGCCCAGGCGTACCGGAGGCCTCGGAGAGCACAGACTAGGCGGGTAGGGAGGGGCGGGCGCCTGGGGCTGGCGGGAGCACCGAGTCCAGGACCCCGGCGCCACCCGCGAGTGCGGCGGAGCGGGGGCCGCGGACCCGGCTGGGCGGCGGGCGCCCGGGACACATGGACAGGGCGGCGATCGGGCCGGGTGGACGGGCTTCCGCCTCAGCCGGACGCGGTCCTCTTGAGCGCCCGCCTTCCCGCAGGCCCCATCCGAGGTCCGGCAGTCAGTGACAGAGCCAGGCGCCCGCGGCCCGAACGCCCCCAGCAGCACCATGCCCGCGCTCCTGGAGCGCCCCAAGCTTTCCAACGCCATGGCCAGGGCTCTTCACCGGCACATCATGATGGAGCGGGAGCGCAAGCGGCAGGGTGAGCCAGGGCCACAGCGGGAGGACACACGAACCCGGATGGCGCCGCTATCCCAGGGTTGGCCACCACCCACGGGCCGACCAGTGCGCCCGCAGCCCGGGCTGGAGGACGGAACGGTCCCGTTGAGTTAAGAGGCTTGGTCCAAGCTCCAGAACCCTTGAGCTGGGAAGGACCTTGGAGAGCACCTAATAAAGCCTCCCTCTCTCCCTGTTCCCTTTTGCAACGATAGGGAAGCCTATCCTCTCGAGAGGGGAAGAGCCATTGCCAAGAGCGTACGAGATTGTTGGGATAACTTATTTTTGCTGGTCTTCCATCTCTAACATTCGAATTATTTTCACCACTCTGCAACTTCTCCACTCTTCCTTATTCTCCAGAGGAAGAAGAGGTGGACAAGATGATGGAACAGAAGATGAAGGAAGAGCAAGAGAGAAGGAAGAAAAAGGAGATGGAAGAGAGAATGTCATTAGAGGAGACTAAGGAACAAGTAAGCAGTCCTTTGATCTTTCCCAGCTCTGACTTCTTTGACTCTCCTTGCCTTCATCTATTCGTGTTTCCCCTCCCAGATTCTAAAGTTACAGGAGAAGCTTTTGGCCCTACAAGAAGAGAAGCACCAGCTTTTCCTGCAGCTCAAGAAAGTTTTACATGAGGAAGAAAAACGGAGGCGAAAGGAGCAGAGGTGGGATCAGAGAGCTAAAAATAAAAACGGGGGCTAAGTGGAACTGGGATCAGATAACAAAAGAATCAGTATGTAATGGCAAAAAAGGGGCACCTGTCTTTGACTTTGACCTGCCTGCCTTTCACTCCAGTGACCTAACCACTCTGACATCAGCTGCGTATCAGCAGGGCCTGACTGTTCACACAGGAACTCATCTCCTCAGCATGCAGGGTGAGGACTAAAGTAATCACCTAGAATAGGCCCTCCTGGAGGTTGCAGCCTCGCATTTCAGCATTACGATGCCTCTCTCCCTTTCTAGGGAGCCCTGGAGGACACAATCGCCCAGGCACCCTCATGGCGGCTGACAGAGCCAAACAGATGTTTGGACCCCAAGTGCTTACGGTGAGAGAAGTAGGATTGGATTGCTTTTCCCTGCTGCCTTCCACCCAGGCATCCTTGCTCCTAGTAGTCAAGTTGCAAATATATCAAGCACTTATTGTATAAGGAAATACAAGGCATGAAGCAATATATACAAATCACTGAGTTTCTCTATTTACGGAGTTTACAGTGAGTTTTCATTGTCCCTCCTTAGACCCGGCACTACGTGGGCTCAGCAGCTGCTTTTGCAGGGACGCCAGAGCATGGGCAATTCCAAGGCAGCCCAGGTGGTGCCTATGGGACTGCTCAGCCCCCACCTCACTATGGGCCCACCCAGCCAGCCTATAGTCCTAGTCAGCAGCTCAGAGGTGAGTGAAGAGGGAGGGGGGCTTTCCTCAAAGCTCAGAGGGAGGAATGTTGTAGAATAAAAGGAGGTTCTAATGGCTGTGCCTCCTGCCTTTCTCAGCACCTTCAGCGTTTCCTGCAGTGCAGTACCTATCTCAGCCACAGCCACAGCCCTATGCCGTGCATGGCCACTTTCAACCCACCCAGACAGGTGATAACACCCCATGCAGGAGCCCTAGCTCCATGGGTCCTCCTTGTCTCATTATCCATTTTACACAACCTTCTTCTCCACCTAGGGTTCCTTCAGCCTGGTGGTGCCCTGTCCTTGCAAAAGCAGATGGAACATGCTAACCAGCAGACTGGCTTCTCTGACTCAGTGAGTAGGGAGCTTTGGGTGGTCAGGGTAAGGGCTAAGATGAGGGGAGCCCCAGTATGCCTGAGGTCCTGTCTCTGTTCTCTGCAGTCCTCCCTGCGCCCCATGCACCCCCAAGCTCTGCATCCAGCCCCGGGACTGCTTGCTTCCCCTCAGATCCCTGTGCAGATGCAACCAGCAGGAAAGGTAAGGGATGTAATCCAACATACCTGTCAGAATCCCTACACTACCAGGAAAACAGGATTAGGTAAGACAGGTGGCCCATACCCTCTGGTTTTCCCTTCCTCCTTGGGGGTGGTCATCAATAAGAGTGTTAAATGGAAGGGAGAACATTCGCACTGACAAAGCCCTCCTTTCGTTACCGTTACCAGTCAGGCTTTGCAGCTACCAGCCAACCTGGCCCTCGGCTCCCTTTCATCCAACACAGCCAGAACCCGCGATTTTACCACAAGTGACCATCAGATTCTATCATCAACCTCATGCACCCACCCCACCATGGGTAGGGGTCACCCCATGTGTGTCCCAGGCCAATAAAGTCTACCTGCCACTGCCCATGGCTGCTGCTGTTTGTGTTCCCTCCCACCCACCTGTCCAGAAGGCTGCTTGCAGGGTTGGGGGATGGCTGGTAGGTCCATAGCAAGTCAAAGTAAGACAGTTAAGTTACAGTGAACTTGGTGGCAGAGTTCAGTTTGTTTCCGGCTTCCAAATGCACCTTTCAGCCAGCAAATACCCATTTAATTCAAATAAGCCACTGAGTTGGGGGCTTCATATTAAACTTGTAGTTTTATTCAGGTTTGATTTTAACAAATGTGTCGGGGAGAGCCCGCAGGAAAGGATGAAGCCCATGGGGGCACAGCCCTCCCAGGTGCCTGAGGAGGCAGGTCCCCTCCCCTCTCCTCTTTCTTCCCCATCTAAAGGGGTTTGGGGAGAGACATAGGCAGGGGAGGGGGCTGGTCCCCAGTCTATGGGGTGATGCTTGGGGTAAAGGGCTATGGGGAATAGGATCAGATGAGGGATGAGTGGGGGAAGGGCACAGGGACCATTTGCCAGAATCCACAGCTTTCAGTTTCCAGATTGAATTAAAAAAAAAAAAAAAAAAAAAAAAAAAAAAAAAAAAAAACAAAAAACACCCCCCCCCCCCCCCCCCCCCC